TAATTAACAATATAGTTATTAATTATTATTATTAATATTGTTAAGATATGGGACAAACACAAGGCAAAGAATTAACTAAGAAGGAGCGTAAACGTCTCCAGCAAGTTCAAAAACATCTACGAGAAGATCATGGGGAAGATAAAGACCCTATGCAATATGCTGAAAAGTGGTCTGCAAAATATGGATCTGATTGCTCTTTGGGCCCAGAAAAAACTGCTGCATTACTGTCTGCTCTAAGAGAAAAGAAACATAAAAAGAATGGCGATGACAGACATCCAGAATTCTAATGTGCATTGATGTTCCACAGCTTCTAAATTACAGAATAAACGATTAATTGCTGAAGCAAAGGCAGCAGCAGAAAAACAAAAACAAGATGATGTTGATGTGGCATCCTCCCTCAGAGGAATAAACCAAAGACGTCTGAGACAATCAACCACTACTAGTTCCTGTGACGCCACCTCAATCTTTGCCACATAATAATCCATTTTATGTGGCCACACCTATAAAATAACCTCCAAATCCACCAAATCCTTTTGCCGTGCCATCATCAGTAATGGTAAGCTCTACTCCACGTGGTCCAGAGCAGTCTGTTTCCCAGTTGTCTCCTATGACTTATGCGACACTGCCACATAGTCTGGGACCAAATGTTACATTGCCAAAAATGTATCCACTTACGGCCGATCCAAACTCATCTTCCCAAGCACTTGGTGCTGCTGCAGCAGCTACATCAGCAGCAGCAAACCGTGGAAAAGACGAACTGTATGACATGTATAATCGCATGGCCCCAGAAAATAATCCAGGTGCAGCTAATTTTCCTTTTGTAGAAATGCCAAATCCAATGTATGGCATTAATAATGCTCCTCAAATCATGGAAGTTAACAGACCATATCTATAATTGCCTGCAGACCAAAAGATGATGAAGATATGCAGGAATTCAAGGTGAGATTTGATCGTGTTTTTAACACAAACACTGGTCTCCAACAAACGAACCCACATTATGATTCAATCTACAAAAACAGATTTTTAGACTGTATGCCCAAACAGGTTCAATAAATGGTGCAAACGTCCTGTGTCATGCTTAAAACCTGTACAGTGCGTGACTTCCTGGCTCATGTAGAACATGCATGGGACAGACATCAAGCAAATAAACAGAAAGATAAAAATAAGCCTGTACAAGTCTTCGTCTCCCTGCCAAATAAAAAATAGTCTGATCAGGGAGCTAGGCCTCAGCAAAGAAAACAATGGCAACAGAATGATGAATCTGACTATGAGGAGGGTAATGACAAGTGCTATAATTGCAGTAGGAGAGGGCATTTTGCGAGAGCGTGTACAGCTCCACGCAGACAGAAGAAACGACCGCAACAACGAAGGTGCTAGAGCACGTAGGGTAAGATAAGATGGTAACAGAACTGATGGGCGTCGCCCATACAAACCATGAGACGATAAACAGCAGAAAAAACTGTCACCAGAAAGAATCAACACTATTTGTAAATTGCTAGCCCCAACAACTATGAAACAACTAATGTCCTTCCTTGGCACATTTAATTATTACAGACAATGGATTCTAAATTACTCCAAATTATCTGGACCGTTATATTCTTTACTTTCAGGTCCAATGAGTTCTGCACCAGCTACTAAAATAACATTACAATCTGATCATTTAAGGTGCATAGCTCAATTAAAAACAGCACTACAATCCGTAGTGTCTCTAAAATTACCTGACTATAGCAGACCCTTTAACCTTTATTGTGATTCACAAGATGGTGAACCACATAACTGTCTAGACTGTTCTTTGACTACTTATATACCCAGATCAGACCTGTCAGATCAACCAGTTCCTGATTCACTTTGGTTGTTTACTGATGGTTCATCTGTGAAAGACACTTTTGGTGTCACCTGTACTGCATACACTGACAACTCTTACTTCAGTACTGCTCTCTGACACACTTCCACCTTCTTATTCTGCTCAAGCAGCGGAACTGAAACCTATGTATATGGCGCTCCACTATGCTTCCGGTTTTCCAGTCACAATTTACACTGACAGTAAATGTGTCTTTAATGCTTGCCACACACACACAGCTATGTGGCACTTTCGTGATTTCTCCACATCATCAGGCAGTTCAGTAAAACATGCTCATCTCTTGAAAAACGTATGCCATGCTCTCACTCTTCCTTCAGCTTTAGCTATTGTACATCGCCCGGCACACACCGGTAGAACTGATCTTGGGCAATGCCTTAGCAGACTGTACTGCTAGAGCTTTAGCTACTGGACAGCAGGTGACTGATGTCGCCCTTAATCTATTGTCAACACGTCAGGTAGACAATACTGTTCTTCTACAACATCAATCTCTTATGCAACCTACTACTGATATGACTAAATCTGAAGATGGCATTTTATTTCATACTCCATCAGGTAAAACGGTACTGCCACCGTCCCTCTATTCTTGGGCTGCACATGTGTCCCGTGGGCAGTGCCATGTGACAACAGCAGGGATGATTGGTGCAGTACAAGTACCGTATTTTTCGGACTATAAGGTGCGCTTAAAATTCTTTAATTTTCTCAAAAATCGACAGTGTGCCTTATAACCCGGTGCACCTTATGTATTACGAACCGATTTGATAAACCCAAACCACGCAGCGCATCACACATGATGGTACACAACTGAAGCGCACTGGGAGCCAACAATGACGTTTAACGCTGTTATCACAATTATAAGATGCTCAACAACGATTGTTACAGTATGGTTGTGTAACCCAAATCCGTACAACGTTGCGTCGTGCCTCCCAACACCCGAAGACTCTTTGTGTTTTTGTATTGTCGATGTATGGTGCGATGCAGGATGACTCAGACGCATGGCTGTCAATTTTTTTCGTAGCCAAAAACTCTTTTTATTTCTCCTTTTTTATTAATGCAGGCAAAACACACACTCTCTCTGTGCAAAAAAACATCTGCACTTCCACAACAGTGCACTCCAGTGTCCAACTTGGGTCACTACCCTTTTCCACAAATCTCTGTCCCTATTCATCTACGACTCCATGCGTGCCCATTTCACTGACATTGTCAAAACCCAAGTGACACAAACTAATTTGGGGCTTGCCATCATTCCAGGTGGATTAATCAAAGAATTCCAACCGCTAAATATTGGTGTTAACAGGGCGTTCAAAGTTAAATTGCAAGCTGCGTGGGAGCATTGGATGACTGAAAGCGAACACACATTCACCAAGACAGGGAGTTACGCCAGTATCTGCTAATGGATCGTGGATGCCTGGGCTAAGGTATCAGTCTCAAATGTCGTCCGAGCTTTCACGAAAGCCGGAATCATCACTGAACAACTAATTAACAGCAACAAGACTGACTCGGATAATGACGAGAGGGATTCGGGCATGCTTGATTGTTTCACTTAATTGTTTCGCTGACTGTTTTGTTTTGCTTAATGCGCCTTATAATCCGGTGTGCCTTATGGTCCGAAAAATATGGTAAGTTGATACACACGGCATTCACACTAACTAAATGATGACATCTTCAAAGATCTGTAATTAGGAACATGCTGAAAGACAAACAGAGAGACACTAGTTTGTTCTTGGTAGTTCTACTGGTCCTTGTGGGGGCTGCAGCTGACAGCTGGCCAATCATAGAGGTCATAGATAGCATGAAGGATTCATAGTTGGTGTTCCACACAGTGGCTTGGACCAGGGCGTTCTTGTCCAAAGGCTCAGGGTAGCAGAATGCCATGCCCTTGGCATAGACTTACTCCACCACTTGAAGTTAAAAAGACAAAGTTATTGTATAGGATTAAGAGACAGACTATATATATACATCCATCCATCCATTTTCATCCATGACCGCCACCTAAAAAACACAGCACCGTACCAACCCCCCAATTTCAAAAATTAGAATATCATGGAAATATTTATTTATTTCCATAAGTCAAAACAAGTTGCACAGTCAGTTTCAGTCAATTTCATAAAATGGCATGAATACAAAATGGCGTCAGTGCACAAAATGGCATCCTAATACTCATCACTACTATTTAGATCTATCAATGTAGCTCTATATCAATCTATCTAGATTTATATGTACAACTATGTGTCTAGATCTGTATCTCTCTATTTGGAGCTATAGCTATCTAGATCTTTTATCTATAAATCTATCTGTATCTATAGCTCTCTATCGAGATCTACAGACCCTTTCCAAATAATTAGAATATCATGGAAAAGTTTATTTATTTCCATAATTTCATTCAAAAAGTTAATCTTTCATATTATCATTCAGGGCCCACAATTTAAACAATTTATTTGTTTATTTTTACATAATTTGGGCTTCCAGCTCATGAAACACACGAAAACAGGAATTCAAAAAATTAGAATACTGTGGTGAAATCACCATTTACTTCTCAGTTTTTGCAGAAAAAAAGAAAGAAATTAGGATCAAATCAATCAAAATATGGTATTTTCAAAACAATATGTCAATGGTTGGTGAAAGATTCTTGCTATGTTTCGATCTCG